GGGGGTGGGGTGGGGGAGGGGACGGGCACGAGGCTTGGGTTTCTCCGCTTCTCTGAGGCCTCGAGAACCAGTGGGCCCAGCGGGAGCCCGTGGAGGCCGGACCTGGTACATGAGCTTTCCTCTTTCCTCCTTGCATCGTCGCCCACTTTCCCTTTCCCTTCCACGTTCCGCCACGGGTTGAATCGCCTGGGCACCTTCTGGGCTCTGTGTTAGCCATAGAACAGTCGGTGTGCCCCTGGGGAGCCCTTCCCTGAGGACCCCTTCTTACCCGAGCCCGCGGAGCCCCACGGTAGGTTTTCCGGGCCTAGGACACACTCGCCCCAGGCTCTGCCTTGGAGACAGCCTGCACCTACCCTTTTTGGCGAGGTGCTGGCCACCAACGGTTTTCTTTCCTTTTCTGTTTGGTTATCTAGAGCCCGCCACCAAAGGAACTGGGCCCCAACCGCCGTGATTTTAGCTGTTGCCTACCTTTTGTCGTAGGCAGACCTCTCGGCTTGCTTAAGATTGTGATGAGTACTGCCGTACTGATCCTTTCCGCACTGAAGGATGCAGTAAACCATGTCTCCATTCATTCTAGGCGATTACCAAGCTCCACATTAAAATGTGTTACTTCTTTCTCACACTTCTTGGTCTTCAATATTGCTTTTTAAATACGTTTTTCGAAATAGATCTAGCGGTATGAAGATCATTTTGAAGTTATGTGATATGGATTTATATTGCCTTGGAAATGCCATTTTGATAATGGGCAGAATGGAGCAGACCAAAGGAGGGAAGAGAGTGGACCCCTCTTGCATATGAAGTACTGTGTAGTTGGCAGTATTGTATAAACGATTTTTTGTATTGTTTTTGGAGCTTTGCGTTTTTAAAGGTTATTTCCAAAAGCATTCAGAGGCCCAGAAAGGCAATTCAGTTTATCAGTTCCTCATGATTCAAGTAGATATTATACTATTTTAATTCATTTAGCTTTTCTTAAAGCCTTGGTCGTCTTGATCTGTAAAATGAGGATTATAATAGTATCCACCTCATAGGTTGTTGGGGTTGGAGATTGAGCGAGAAAAACGTGTGTAAAACCCTTAGCGCAATATCCAGGTAACATACAGTAAACATTTACTCTGTATTAATAGTTTTATTATTTAAGAATTTTCAGGGAAGTACAAGAGCCTAGCCCTGACTCTTAACATTTCTTCCGGTATACTTTGAATAGACTTTTATAAACAAAGTCAAAATTAATCCTTAAGTTTCTTTTTTTTATCATTGGTATATTATTACTAGAAAGAGGCATTAAGGTGCAGTGAAAACGGCTTTTGGATAAGTAATTTCAGGATAGTGAGGACCTTGGAGTCTCCATTTACTTATTGTGTTCTCCTGCACAGGTTAGCTTTTTCATTTGTAAAAAGAGAATAATAAATCTACACCAGGTAATTTGGAAGATTAAATGAGATAATGTATGATAAACACTTTTGTAAACCAAAGTAAATAAAAATGTCGATAATTTTATTAAAAAATTCATCTTTGGGGATTTACCAGATTTCCTCTTAATTGGCAGCAAAAGTGGTCACCCCCAATGGAGTACCAAAAGACTCTTACGAAGAAAAGGTTTTTACTGTCCCACTATTGTACATAGGCACTGTGTATTAATAACGGTTTTGACTGTATTTTTTATTTCATGATTAGCTGTTGTTTTATTCCACTGTGTCTGAATATATGTTTTTAATAAAACTAATCCATGTTAACGTGGGGTAACTACTTCAGACCTAATAGGAATTTGGGATTTTCAAGTTAAATTACATTTTTGGCCACAGACAAGTTAGCAATTTACTTTTTTCGTTTACACATGATTTGGAGAAAAATTATATTGCTTATTTTATAGCTTTGTAAGCAAAAGTAATCATTGATGAATCATAACATCTTATAAAAACATTCTGTGTATTTTTAAAATCTCTTATCTTTTCTAACACTACTACTGGCGTTCACAAAAGGAGATTTTGATTCCTTCTTAGTTTCTTGAATAGCTTTTTTACTTTTTTTTTAACTTGCAGAAAATAAAAGGAAGAAAATATTTCCATTACCTAGAAATATTGGTATTGCCTTTTTAACTTTATTTTGACATAATTTCAAATTTACAAAAAAAGTTGCAAGAGTAGTACAAAGAATTCTTAAATAAATGTCTTTCACCCAGAGTCCCCAAATGTTAACAATTTACCAATTTGCTTTATCCTCTTCTCTTTCTCTCTATAGTTTTCTTCTGAAATGTTTTGCTGGTAAGTTGCAGACATGATGCCCCTTAACTACTAATATTTGCGTATTTCCTAAAAACTAGGACATTCTCTTGTTTAACAACAGTACAATGATCAAAATCAGGAAATTAACATTGATACAATATTTAATATATAGGTCTTAATTAGATTTTGCCAGTTGTCCTGAATTGGTATTGCTTTTTTTAAAAAAACAGCTTTATGAAAGTGTAATTGACACATAAAATCACTAGTTGTAAATGTACGCTTTAATGATTTTTATTAAATGTACAGAGTTGTGTGACCATTACCCAAAAGGATCCCTCCTTCATGTTTGCAAGTTACACTGTTTCACCCAGGTTCCAAGCAACCACTGATTTTTTTCTATAGATAGTGTTGCTTTTTAATCATTGGAAATGGTAAGACAACAAAATGGAAATCTCTCAGGAAAAGATCAGCTAGCTCCCTTTTTGGATATTCAGAACACTTGAGTATTTTCATGACTCTGAAAAGCTTTGGTGTAAAAGAATTTTTTTTTGCTAATCAAGCATTTCCCATTCTTCTTTGGGCATGGAACACTTTTTTGTCAGAATAATTCCTGCAGCCTCCAGTTTTGTGTGAAATTCAATTTGAAAAGTAATGTTTTAAGGTCTTGCTTTGCTTAGGATGGGGCAGTTAATCTCAGCCCCCAGAGTACCTTGCAGGCTATCAACAGGGTGGGAAACTCCATGTTACACTAGTAGTTATTGGATATATTCATTGTGGAACCATTGGACTAGCTGTATAACTTTATATAATAACTTAAATTTTGCCCTTTCAGAACTATTATAAGTAGTACTTAGAAAAGAACCTGGCACATAATTGGAGCTAGCTAGTTATTGAAGGAATGAATTAATTAATGAGTTGTATGTGAATGTTTCCTGAGAGGAATTTATTGGTTCACTCTTATCAGTTCAGAAATTTGGTGAGGTGTCCTGATGGAGCTAGTCTTTAAATCTGTCACTGGTGAAATATTATGTTCCTATCTGGATAAATTTGTAGTGTAGTGTAAATATAGTGTAGTATAGTATAAGTTTGTAGTGTAGTGTAAGAATACTTAAAAGCAGTGTTTCACTGTATTTTGTATGCTTATGGTATTGGAATTCTCAGGAGTGCAGAAAAAAATGGTTTGAAAGAGTAAAGAGAAAAAAGTGGAAAAGAGAAAAGCAGAGTGTATGCATATGTTGAGTAACAGAGATAAATGTTATTTAGATTTTTTTCTTTTTTTTTTTTGGGAGGCTGGCTGGTATTGGGATCTGAACCCTTGATAGATTTTTTTTTTTTCCTTTTTGGACCAAATTTGTTGAGATAAAATTTATACACAATAAAATGCATCCATTTTAGTTTCAGTGAGTTTTAACAAGTGCATACACCTGTGTGACCACTGCCACACTAGGGATAGGAAATGCTTCCATTATAGGTGCTTGTTTTTGTTATTTTGGGCCACAGAGTTTCATACTTGGCAGGTAAAAATGAGCACTTTTTTTTTTTTTTTTTTTTTTTTTTTTTTTTTTTTTTTCGTGTCCGGCAACGGATCGCAAACCTCAGTGTTGCGCCCGGACCGGACCGGGACCGGCAACGGGATCGCAATCCTCGGTGTTGCGTCCGCACCTCGCTCAGCCAGTGAGCGGGAACCAGTCTGTATGTGGGATCCGAACCCTCGGCGGGAGCACGCCGCCACGCTCCCAAGCAGCGCACTGTAGCAGTGCGCCACCGGGCCGGCCCCCAAAAAATGAGCACTTTTAATATTTTTAAAAGTGCTATTTAAATGCTTTCAGTGTTAATAAAATAACTGCTTCTCTCTTTTTCTTAGACCCCACATACGTCCCTCAGCAAATCGTATTGACTACCTTCAAAATACATCCAGAATCCAATAACTTGATACCACTTTCACCATTACCACCCCTTCCACTTTTGTCTGGTTTACTGCAGTAATCTCTAGCTTCCATCCTGTTCCTTTCCAGTTAACACCGGGGTTATTGGTATGGTTAAAATGTAAATCAAGTCAAAAATCTTTCAAATATTTTCCATTTCATTCAGAGTAAAAGTCAAAACCTTTATGATGTACTACTAAGCTCTACATTGTCTGAAACCCCTCCCCAAAGCAATACTCCGTGTTTATCTCTGTCTTTCCTCATTTGTGCTTCTTCAGCCATACTGTTGGCCTTGCTGTTCCTCTCTCATACATATCATTCCTATATTAGGCTCTTTGTATTTGCAGTTTCCTTTGCTTGGAAGGCTCTTCCCCCAAATATGAATAGGGCTTTCTGCTCCAGCCTCTTTCAAATCTTTGTTCAAGTTTTCACCTTCTTGATGAGGCCGGATCACCAGATTTAAAATAAACTACTTCCTATCTCTCTTCCCTGCTTTATTTGTCTACAAAGTTCCTAACAACTTTCAGTGTATATATAATTTTAAGTATTATAATTTCTATTGTCTTATTTATCATCTGTAGGTAAAACAACTCTCAATTATTTTCACATACTAGTATTATTTCACATACTAAACTTTATGTTGAAATAAGTAGTTGATACTCTAATTAGGATGTTTAAAGTGAGGATTAGTATTTATCAAAGATCTCCAGAAATGTTTGTTTTCTGAATTTCCATGGGAGGGGCCATTATCTTCTTAAAGGAAGGAAAGGAATATTTATAAAAAGTAGTCATTAACTGTGGTATTTTTACCTGTACCTTTGAAGTGCAGCCTATGAATAAGTAAGTTTTGAGCAGCTCCAAATAAAAGGGAAATATTTCATAGAAAATTTAGAAGTGAATGGAATGGGTATATTGGCATAAACTAAAGTTAAATCTATATCTGGTTAACTTTTAACCGGATGAATTATACATTTAGAATCATACAATCTAGCTTACACACCAGGAATATAGAGTTTTTTATTTTAATGTTACTTGTATCTAATACTGGTGGGGAAAAAGTGGTTCTAAAGATGAATTCATGGCCCAATCTTGTAATCATTCTGAAGCTAGGAAGTGAGCTATTGCTAGCATACTACTTAGCATGTGATAGCTTCTTAATAAATTTGTTTATTGAGGTCCTCAGAGTTTGTTTACTGATTCATTTATTAATCGATTTATTTATTCAACAGGTATTAAAACCAACTGCCCTCCTAAGAAAGTGCTGAGATAGAGTATTATAATGATAATACAAGAGCTTCTGTAAGTAGGACAGTAGCCCTCTCTGTTTTTAAAGGAGACTCCCCCCTTCACACACATGCCCTTTCATGTAGAGTATTTGTTTTTGTTTGGGGGCCAAAAGTATTACAAAAATGTTATTAAAGAATTCAACACATTTACAATCTTAGAATCTTGTGTTTTTCTTTTGTAATATATGCTGATATGTACCTAATATTTAAAGCATTTCCAGTTCCTTATTTGCTAAGTATATAAAGTCGTCCTAAGAATTCCTTTACCTGTAAAGCTTTCTAAATATTTAAAGTGTTTTCTGAAGTTGAAATTTAGATTTTATAGAATATTATATTATCCTAACTTATTAAGTCAAAGGAACAGTCTGAGGAAAAACAGTCGTGGGCAAGAAGGACATGCTTTTCTGTTTTAAAGAAATGTCTAATAAACAGATAAAAAGATAGCAACTTCATTAGTGGTCAGGGAAATGTAAATTGAAATAAGAAAGTATTTTTTACATATCACATTGTTAAAATCTAAACACTGATTTATTCCAGTAATGGTGAGGATATGAGAAAAGGACATACTCGTGGTGGCAATATAAATTTGTACACTAGTTTTGGGGGGGTGGTTATTAGGAGGTAAATTGTGGATGTGTACAGTACTAACCTGTATTATAAAATTACTTGCACAGGTGCCTATATCCAGTATGTCCAAGAATGTTCAGCATTATTTGTAAGAGCTAAAAAGGAGAGCCAATCATTAATGTTGGCTGAATAGTTATTGTATATTTGTATTAGAATAATTTACTGCGTTACAAATTGTGAGATAGAATTTTATGAACTGAGATGAAGAGAGGTCACTGATAATGAGGGAGAAATGCATGTAACAATATAGTATGATTACATTGTATGTAGAAAAATTATTATATATTAGATTATGTATGAATGATATTTAAAAGAAACAATAACATGTACCAAAATGTTGGGATTAGGGGGCAAGGAAGTGGAAGACTTGCGCTTTTTATCTTCTTTCTTCTGAAGGGTGAGTAAAACAATTATAAAACACAAAGGAGAAAATAGTAGAGACAGACATTCTTAAGAAGCTTTTAACAACTCTAGATGATTTATAAAGTGGGGAAATTTCAATTATAAGTGGGAGAATTTGTCCTAGTGTCCAACAGAAATACCTCCAAATCACTAATTTTAGTGGAATCACTGATGGGGGATTGACCCTCTTATTTTGGCTGCTTTTTAAAAATTGGTGCACAGAACCCCCTCCTAGGACATCCTAACACTGTGTTTCTACTTTTTCCAGTAGTTCTGGAGGCTTAAGTATGTTGATGAAATATAAAATTTTGAGGGAGGAAAAGCTTTAAATACTTATATTTGTTTAGCAAAAGGACAGAGTTTCCTTGAATACTATGACAAAATGAAACAGTTCAATGTGTTCCTGTTTTTTTTGGCTGGCCTAAACAGGGATCAAACCCCGTACCTCTGTTTTATCAGCACCATGCTTTAACCAGCTGAGCTAACTGGCCAGCCCATCTTCTTTTACTTAAAAAAATCAAATACTAACATGCGATTCTTGGATTTGATTCGAGAATGGTTAAGAGGCTTGCTTTTGATTTTTAAGAAAAATTATGGCTTGTCATTGTCACAAGTTGGGTGTTCTTTTTATATTTGAGTGGTTACTATGTGACCTGATGTCAGGAGTTCTTCCCCCGCTTCCAGGTTTGTAGTTCAGTGACACATTTGTCTTCGAGGAACTGGCCAACGTTGAATCAACAAATACTGTGTTACCTTGTAAATTTAGTTTTCGGGGTGCTGATGGGTATATAAAAAAAAATGAACGCTTCTAAAAAAAAAACGCTTAAAACACTTAGATACCTTCCTGGAGTCTAAGTTTGGTTTAAAAAGAGTCGTTGATGTTTAGTATTTAATTTTTGAATATTAACTGAACCTCAAAATTCTTTTTTTCTTTATATGTATTCCCGTATGATTGTAGGAGTCTATCCTGAATTTAGATCGTGTACATTTTGGGAACTTATTTTAGAAAAGATCTAAGTTTTAAAAATTCTCAATGGACAGACAGAGAAAAGAGGGTCTTTGCCAACTCCTTTGGGTAAGAAAACTTTAGAATTTTGCAGATACTCTAAAAATGAAGGCCAACAAACCAGGACATATCAAAATGTAAAATTTTCAATTAAAATGATTTGTCTTGATTTCTTTCTTTAGACTGCTGCAGTAAGAATGTCTTTCCCCCCACATTTGAATCGCCCTCCCATGGGAATCCCAGCTCTCCCACCAGGGATTCCACCCCCACAGTTTCCTGGCTTTCCTCCACCTGTACCTCCAGGTAAGTTTGTTGATACTGTTTTTTGTTTTTTAAACCTGTATTTTCGTCACCGTGATACTATAGGAAAATGATATGTATATTAATTATATCAGTAGTAATGATGTCAGCATCATTCTGGAAATATGGATGTCTCTTTTTCCTGTGGCAGTAGTTTTTTTTTTTTTTTGTCTTTTTTCGTGTCCGGCAACGGATCACAACCCTCAGTGTCGCGCCCGTACCGGACCGGGACCGGCAACGGGATCACAACTCTCGGTGTTGCACCCGCACCTCGCTCAGCCAGTGAGCGGGAACCGGTCTGTATGTGGGATCCGAACCCTCAGCGGGAGCGCCGCCGCGCTCCCAAGCGGCGCACTGTAGCAGTGCGCCACCGGGCCGGCCCTATGGCAGTAGTTTTTATGTCTGGCTGAGTATCAAACTCATCTGGGAAGTTTTAAAAAACATTTTAAGGGGCTGGCTGGTTAGCTCAGTTGGTTAGAACTCAGTGTTAGTAACACCAAGGTCAGGGGTTTGGATCCCTGTACCAGCCAGCCACCAAAACAAAATATATATTTTTTAAAAAATAGGTAATACATTCACATGGTTCAAAAAGTATAGAAAGGTATACAGTGAAAGGTTTCCCTCACATGCCCACATAACTGCTGTCACTATTCCCTTACTGAAAAAGGGAAACAAAACAGAGTCATTAGTTTCTTCTTTTTCAGCTTTTTTTCCCCCTTTGACAGCTGTCCTGTACAGGGATCCAAACCCTTGACCTTGGTGTTACCAACACTGTGCTCTAATCAACTGAGCTAAGTAGCTAGCCTTCTTTTCCAGATTTTTAAAAAATGCATATTTAAGCCATTATAAATAAGTAAATATACATATATATATATTTTTTTCTTTTTCTGAACTATGAATCGAGAAGTATATATTATTTTATCTCTTAGTTTTGGGGGTTTTTTTGTTTGTTTTTTCCAACATACATAAAAGCGTACTTCAAAAAGTTCATGTAAAAATAGAATGAAAGATAATACTGAGGCCGGCCCGGTGGCGCACTGCTACAGTGCGCCGCTTGGGAGCGTGACGGCGTTCCCGCCGAGGGTTCGGATCCCACATACAGACCGGTTCCCGCTCACTGGCTGAGCGAGGTGTGGGCGCGACACCGAGGGTTGTGATCCCGTTGCCGGACACGAAAAAAAGACAAAAAAAAAAAAAAAGATAATACTGATCTTTCCATAACTTTTTGAAGACCCCCCCCATATAGAAGCATCCTGTATATACTATTCTGCCCCTTGCTTTTTTTCACTTGACAATATATCTTGGAGAGCTTTCCAAATCAATATGTAATAGTTTCCTTTCTCCAAAGTTCTGTGGAGTTTAAAAAAAAAAATATGTTCAAGCCCTACCCCAAAAACCTGAATCAGGTCATTAGAAATTGGAATCCAAGGATCTTTTTCTTGTTAACAAGTTTATAGGTAATTCTAGGCATCCATTTAAGCATAGGGAACCCATATTTGGGAGCTATTATCCTGAAGTATATAGTTAGCATTGTTTGGCCTAAGGAAAACAGATAGTTTTCCTTTGGTTTATGGGTAATAGTTCAGGTATTTTTATATTTTAATGGGGTTGAAAGCATTTCATACAAAATTAGTTTGTTTACCTTTCCTGAAGATAGTATCCAAGAGCTCTCTTAATTTGCCTGCTAGAAGTATTTTGATGTAGAATCCATGTTATTGAGATGGAAATCAGCAAATGGTATTGTAAATTATCCAGAAGTATTTATTTGAGGAAACTTTTACATTGGGGGCTTATGTTTTAAAATCAGATTTTCTATTTGAAATTATAGTGTTTTACTAAAGAGCTTGAAAGTTGCAGAGTTAAAAATACATTGCAGGTGGCTCATATGATGGGTCGTTTCTTCATAGCATGTATGTTACAGGGATTGTACAAACAGCAGATCTGTCTTTATTTTGGATTAGACTTGACTTCTTAATTTTGAATTAGGGAATTTACTGCCATAGGCTTTGAGAGCCTACCCCTCAGAAAGGTATTTAAAAAGCCACAAAATAAACATGGTAATTTTTTTGTAATATCATTTAAGACTTCAGGAATTTGGAGGAAAAATCATAATTTAAAAAATGAGAACAATTATGCATATATTCCATAGAATAGAATGCAATAGTTATACAAATTTTGCTTGTAACAGGGCTGCTGTAAGCTGTGCCATCAAACAGATTAGTAAGTGTAAAAGGACAGTGTTCTGAACCACTTTCATTTAGGCATCAGTTTTTTTCTTTGGTTTATGTATCCTTATTTTTTTTCATATATTTATAGTTTGATAATACAGATCTGTTTTTGTTTGTTTGTTTCGTTTTGTTTTTTAAAGATGACTGGTAAGGGAATCTTAACCCTTGACTTGGTGTTGTCAGCACCACGCTCTCCGAGTGAGCTAAGCGGCCATCCCTATATAGGATCCGAGCCTGTGGCCTTGGTGTTATGAGCGAGCACCGCACTCTCCCGAGTGAGCCACAGGCCGGCCCCTACAGATCTGTTTTTTGATAGACCTTACTATAACCACGATACAAAGCCTTGCTGTTGTAGGAGTTATAGGGAAGGATAGTTTACTTACTATTTCTTTGTGAAGAAATTTAAGGAAAGGATTGAGAGTTAAGCTTAATAATTTGTTCAGAATCAGGAAAGGTAACAATGGAAAATCCATGCTTTAATTTCCTTATCAGAAGATGAGGTTTAGAAAAGATTTAAATTCTTTTGAATTAAAAAAATCTTAAGTATAACAAATTCAGATGAGCATTATACCAAATTATAAATGGAAGTAGAAGCTAAGCGGGACGTATTTCTTTGAAGATTAATCCCTGCATATCTTTTAAAATGGGTTGAGCGAACCTAAAAGCAGATTTTTTTGTATTTCTTGTTGCTGTTTAGGTAATGCCATACTAATGTGGCATTTATTCACAGAGTGGTAACACTTACAATTCTGATTTCATTTGTCACAGTGTACAATATCATTTGTGTCTGGGGAAATGTATTTTAGTTGGGTGATAAATCAGACTTTAGTTGCAGCTCACTCACTGTCAGCAGCCTGTGTACAGCATCAATACTTTAAAAAGTAAATAATGAAATAGTATGCTAAACTGCTGTAATGATTCAGAACCACAGTACCCGTTTTCATGTGTAATTAATGTGTAATCTCTAAGTGAGATAATGTATGTGGTGATCACATTATATATTAAATTAGAAAATAAATTTGGAAAATAGGTATTATTTTTCTTAAAAAATAATACATGCATATAGAAAAAAGTCTTCATCCCCCAGTTTCTTAGTTCCCTTCCCCAAAGGCAGCCTTATCAGTTTCTAATGTGTATTTCTCTAAAGAGAGATACCATGCATTTCCTAGTGTATTTGCTTATGTTTACTCTTTCCCCACTTCCTTTTTTTTTTTTTTCCTTTTTGTCTTTTTTACTGACCGGTAATGGGATCGCAACCCTCGGTGTCGCGCCCGTACCGGGGACCGGCAACGGGATCGCAACCCTCGGTGCTGCGCCCGCACCGCGCTCAGCCAGTGAGCAGGAACCGGTCTTCACATGGGATCCGAACCCTCGGCGGGAGCACCGCCGCACTCCCAAGCAGCGCACTCTCCAGTGCGCCACCGGGCCGGCCCCCCACTTCCTTTTTTAAAAAAACTCAAATGGTAACACATTGTTCACATTTTGTACACTTTAATTTTTTTCATTTGAATATGCATAGATTTTTATAATGAGTAGCAATACATTTTCCATGTGAATTGTAAATTTCGTAATATTAGTAAGTTGGAGTAGAAGAGGTACTGTTAAACTGAGTAACTGTAAAGAGGAAAAAAAATTCCTCAAGATGTCTTTTTCTGAATGTTTTCTTTAATAGAAAGTTTACCTAGGGAATAAGTGCCACATAGATTACAGTTGGTAAATGGGAGAAATTATTCGTTTTTGCTTTGCAAAGCTAAGGTGATTAATTAAAGTTTTGAGCATCCACTGTAGTAAATGGTTCACATAAATTATCTCTGTTCACAGGAACTGTTAGGAAATAATTATTTCAGTGGAATTGAGGAAACAAGCTGAGGTTAAAGTGCTTGCCCAAGGTTGCATAACTGAAAGTGATAGAACGAAGAAATGAACCCAAATTTGACTCCGAAATGTGATTTTTCTATTTTACACAGTTTACTGTAGACTTATTGATAGGAATTTTGATTTGTACCTTTTAAAATTTTTATTTTGAAAACATTTTAAATAAATCATGTTAAAAAATAAAGGGATAGTGTTCAATGTTTAAGAATTTATTACCAGTCTTAGATGGAGAATTATCTTAAATTCATGTTAAATTTGAACTGAAAGGTGATTTCAGAATTTCTTGAGATATTTAGAAGCATTTTCTTTTTTCTTTCTTTCTTTCTTTCTTTCTTTTTTTTTTTTTTTTTTTAAAGATGACCGGTAAGGGGATCTTAACCCTTGGCTTGGTGT